GGAGCATCATGGGCGGGTTGTCTTGCGTTGTTTGCTCCTTGCTCACAGGGCAGACAAAGATGGGATGGTAGATCATGGATTCGGGTAGGGGCGTCTCAAAAGCCAGCTCGTTCTCGGTCGTCCACTCCGTCTTCTTCTCACGCATGTAGGTCGTGTACTTTATGAGGCGAGGCAGGGCGATAGAGCCCGCTGTGACGGCAACGTAGAGGGGTGACTCGGCAGAAAGGCCGAGCAGGGAGCAGAACTCCCGGGTGAAGGACATGGCCACGTCCTCAAATGCCGAGTCGATCTCAAAGATGTGCTTATAGGGGGAAGCGGCGAGGTTCGGGGCGTACACCAGAGCGCAGCAAAGCTGTTGGATCTCGCGCAGGTGTCGGGATTGGAACTTGGCAAAGTGTTGACGGGCGTAGGCGAGAGCACCGAGGGGTCCGTTACGCTCGGCGTCATCGGGGAGGCCGTTGACTGAGCTGCCCTTGAAGAGCCATACGAACTGAAGCTTGCTGAGTTCAAATTCGAGGGTGCTGCCCTTGGCCTCGAGCTGTGGGCTGTTGCCGCGGGCCCAGTCAATGGCAGGGACAAGGTTTCGGTCCTTCAGCTCTGACAGAATGCTGTACATCTCGGAAAACTTATTTTGCAGGTGCTCCGAGTGCAGGTTGCGAATATCATCTTCTGGTTCGGCGTCGTCGTCGTCGTCATTATCCATATCGTCATCACCGTCTTCGTCCGTTTGCCGAGGGGAGCGGGCTTCGCGATGCGGAGGGTGGTCGTGAGCTTCATTTAGGAAAGTCGAGGCAACAGAGAATTGTCCCTCGCGTAGAAGATGCATAGCTATGGCTCGGTTGATCAGGCCCGGGTGGTCAGCCATGGCATCGGTCTCCATGGGAAGTTCGCGGTGAGGGAGCGCCTAAGTCGGTCAGTGGCCATCGCAGCAGCAGTAGTCAAGTAGTAATAACCAACCTTGTCCAAGGCCTTTCCAAAGGCCTTCTGTGCCTTTGTGACTTCCTTTAGGTCTTGTGTGATTGATTCGAGTCGGGACTTGACTGGGTTTTGCAGCATCATCATGGTCATGCCGATGCGATGCGCGTCCGCTTCTATCAGGACGTTAGACAGCTCCGGATGAGATATGCTTGAGGATGCCAACCTCCAGCAACCTGCTCCCGCGTGGCAGTGAGCAAATCTATGATCTGGTCTACATCATCGATCGCAGCGTTGAGATTGGACTTTCTCATGCGAGCCAGCTCGACCATGAGCGGCGCAAATGGCGAGACGTGATCGCTGTCGGCTCCCGCCATGGCTGTGATATCGCTGGGGTTTCGACCAGCTGTGGTTGCCGAGTTCTGGATGATTACGGGTGAAGCCTGAAAATCGGGCTTCTTGTGAGTCAGTGAATTCCAGGGGATTAATCCAAAACCTTGAGTAACAGTTTGAGCGGAAGAGAAATGACGCTGCCGTGATCGACGGCCGATGTCGTCTGAGGTCCAAGTGACGGCTCCCACTGACGATAGCGTCGGCCACTGTTATCGATAAGACAACTTCGGGGGTTTGCTTGTAAGGGGGCTATCCCCACTATGACCCTGGCCAATCAGAGCTAACAGAAAGCTACCTGTTTAAGCAAGAGCGACTCTATCGAATTCATGCGTCGATTCCTCAAGGCTTCTCTCATACAGTCAAATCATCTATCTCACCATCGTCTCCCTGTCTTCTACCTGTGTTGAACTGCTCCTTGCTCCATCTCGCTTCCTTGAATCAAGGTTCTATACGACCCCAGCTCCGCCAGGGTTCACGTGGGGACACACGGAATTAGTGCCCCGCAGCTACCTAGCCAAGTAGGTAAGGTACCTAGAGCTAAGGCAAGGCCTTCTTCGAGCTATTGCATCACATGCAGGCCCTGAACCTGAACACCAACAAAAGGCCTCCCGACAACCCAAGCGACCCCTGGAGACGGCCTCTTTTGCTCGTCTTCTGCTCCGTTCGCCGCGCAGCTGGACGGCGAGAATGTAGCTCGAGACCGCCGCGACTAAACCCCAGGGGTCGACGACGACGTCATGGCCTTCCGATTCCCCTCTGCACCGGATCCTCGAAACCGGCTCGAAGACGAATATCTCGCTCCCGTCACCGCCAAAGGCTCGGTCCAGCGGACCGGGCGAGCAAGCCCTTCAGAGGGCGCTCTGCCTCTAGTCGAAGGAAACACTCATGCTGAGCATGAGAAAGCTGTTGAGCCTCTCATTTTGCCGCCCCAACAAGCACCACCACGGAAAAACATAGTGTTTGCAGACCCTTTTGCCTTTCGGTTCGTCGCCGTCTCCCCTGGCTTGCACACGCGATGTCAGTCCTAATACTATCATGCACAGATTTCTCGAAGACGATAGTAATGTCAGTGTTGTCGAGCGTCGTGGGATACTAAAGGGTTACGAATCCTACCTTGTCGAACAATGGGCGTGCTCGAGGAAATCACCAACTCTCGTCATTGTCACTTATACTGGAGATGAAAAACACTCTGTTGCGGTTGGTGTTCTCTCGGTGCCGGCGGAGGAGAGTCTCTGGCCGGCCAAGCTGCGCGCCTACTTTAAAGCAATCCAGGATTCGCATGCGAGACCCAAGGAAACAGCTCTAGGAGAGCTTATGGTGACAAACCTCAGCAGCTTCCCCTCGGCTCTTACCGTTATTCTCATCCCCGAGGGCGATATCCGCAAATATCGTTCATCATTCATCGTCAACGAGGATCTCAAACGGTTAGGATGCTCAGGGCGGTCAGGTCTTACACTCTCAGACCCAGCCGAGGCGACCCAAACCAAGTTCCTACAACTCTACAAAACTAGCGATCGGGTCTCCGTCAGCCAAGCTGTGATAGAGCTTATCAAACTCTGTCAAGTTGCATTATACATGTTTGACAAGTTGGGTCACGAGTACATCGATGGGCTGCTGTGCGACAAGACGGAGATGGCAATCAACAACTGGTGGATTGAAGTTGGTGCTGAGCACTACAACTTTGAGCCAACTGATGGCATATTAGGGCCGAGCACTGTGTCAGCTCTTCTAGGCATGTTTATGGGGGCGAGGAACCGCCTTCACTGGTATGGCGCTCCGGTGTCGAAGGACGTCTTTGACCTTGACAGCACCAAACGTGGTATTGGTCATTTCCAAAAATCACAAAAACTTGAAAGAACACGGAGGTTGGACCGCCAGACGATTCTCAAACTCTACACAGTATCTGCCAAGGCGGCAGCTGGAGAGGGCTGGGGCGTGCAGAGGGCGGTCAAATCGACTCTGACAGAAGTCGGAGGTAAAAGAGGCGAGCTTGTCATGGGCATGGTATCAGGCAAGGACAAAGGAGGACTTGCTGATATTGAGACCCTTGACATTGACAGGTTCGTCAGCCTAGCCTACGGCGACAGGCCGAAATGGCTCTGGCACGGTAAGCCTCGAAGAACGCTGGCAGAACTGCCAAATCACAGTCCAGAGCTTGGCAATGGGCTGCCATGGAAAGATGACGATTCAAACTCGAATCCAAAACGGGTCTATTCTGCGCCTGCGGAGAGTGAAGCAGAATCGAGGCGGACAGATGATTCGCCTGGCATCTACTCAGCCTTTCCTCCTGGCTCCGCTACTAGCATCGGCGAAGGCGCAGCTGACAAAGATGCTTTGCGAAAGAATATGTTCAAAAGTGTCGCTGGGAAAATGAGTGACGCTCGGTCTGGTTTTGGGCGCATCAAAGATGCTGTTGGAGGAGGTCTACGAGGCCACAACACTCGGCCTTCGGTCTCGACAAGAGACGACTTTGGAGAGATGGGTGTAGGAGGCTCCAACCAGGCACTCAGCACAGCCATGCTCTCCACCACAGCACCCATCCCAGGGGTACCCAGGGCATTTACTTGGAAGAACAAACCAGAAGAGTATCTGGCTGCCATGAGACGAGGTGACACGGATGTGATTCCAGGTCTGCCCCAAACTTCGCACTTTGCGTCTACTTCGACTGTCGATATCAAACCTACCTCGGCTCCAGCTTGTGAGACTCAGAGGCGTGAGCAAGAGGGTGAGCTGATGGACATTGGTGCCGAGGTGCGCAAGGATATACTCTCCAAGGCGCCCTCGGCTGTTGGATCTCTGGTTGATGAAGCAGACATTCAGGGACCTGTTCTGGAAGCAGAACGCATGAACAGGCCCGCGCGCGTGGGACTCTCGCGACGACACAGTATCCAGCTGCTCCAGTGCGGAACAGAGAGAATTCTCAATGAGAATCGATGGCCACGGCGAATGTCATTTAGCGATGCCGAAGAAGCCGTGCTGGCTTGGGAGGATATCATTGATATCACGGATACCACTGGCGACTTTGCAAATCTGGAGGCATTCAATGACCTTGCTCAGTTCTTCAGTCGGCAGATGGATGAGATCAAGGAGGGCATCGAGCCGTGGGTGACGGAGAAGCTCAAGGCAGTTGAGCTCCTCGACGATCGCTACGCAAAAGACAAAGACGAGCTCCATGCTCTCTACTACCAGTTGAACGAGGCATGTCAACGGATGCGCATCAGCTCTCATGAACTCCTTGCAGAGGAGCGATCCCACCTGACGGAAGGCTTGAAGGAGGTCGAGGTGCTTGTTGCGCGCCTTGACTATGAGATCAATGCTCTCCTGTCAAAGGTGAATGACGTCGAGGATGGCATTGTCACATTTGAGAGGCAGGTGGAGGACATGGAGAAGAAAGCCGAGGACCTCAAGATCCAGCTCGAGACGGAAGGATGGTTACATTGGCTCTTCAGAACGATGACAGGCATTGGAACAGGCCCGGATATCACACGATCTACGCCATAATTCGGGCGCCCATATAATTAGTGGTGGAGCGAGTCGAGTCACGGAGCATTGTCATGGGGTTGTGAATTTTCACATGCGTTTTCTGGGACGGAGTTTTGGGACAAAGCATCACATGGAGCATAAATTACCCATGGAAGAAGGCGTTGATATAACGACAGATGGCGATACAGACAGACGCACACAGAGAGCTTGTAGTGGAGGTGTTCTTTTTTTTCGTTTGGATTGTAGCATGAATCCATATACAGATATTATACAACGACACCTTTGAATTCATGTCATCATCCAGTCCGCCTCCGGTTTCATATCGATGCGAGCGCCCCGTGACGCAAAACCAAGCATCTAATCATCGAGGAACGGTTCCCAAGCATATATTCATACAAGCCCTTGTTTCTTTCCGGTGGCGATTCTTCTTCCCGTTACGCCCTTCCGATCTATACGCTTCGTTGCAAAGAGAGGGGGGCACTATTCGTGTCGTCCCCCATATCTAATGCTTCTTAAAACATGCCGCCGCCCTGTTGGCCACCGAGGGCCTGGCCCTGCTGCTGCATAATCTCGCTGACCTTCATAGACGTGTCGAGGAACTTTGCGGTACAGCGGTCGAGGCAGACGGACTCGCCCTTGTTGAGCTCGCCCTCGCGGTAGTCGTTGGGGATGCACTTCTTCTGGCACGAGTTCTGGAGGCTGCAGAAGAGTTAGTGAATACTGTCAATCCATGCTACAAAGCCAATTCCAGGTGAGGGGTTGGTTGTTTACCGGTTGTAGGTATCGGCCATCATGCGCATCTCGCTCTCCACGGCAGCAATCTTTTGCTCCGAGGTAGGCTGAGGACGACCCATTCCGAGGAAGCTCATCTTGGCGGTGTTTTCAAGGTGGTATTTGGTTAAAAAAGAGAGGTAATGTTGGATGTAATGCTGTTGCGATCTGGGCGGTTTCGGCGTTGATGATGCTTTTTTGCCTTGGTCAAAGGGAAAATTTGGGCTTATCGCTGATTACGTGAGGTGCCGCTTATCGATTGCCAGTGGTATGTCATAGGCTCGTGGGGTTGGCCAATGGGGAGTTGAGCTTCAGTCATTAACGGTACCTACCTAATTGTGAGTTATGGTAGAAGCAAGATTTGTATTATAGTGTCAGTGGAAATGAAGAAGTGATTTTCGACAGTATTATGGAGGGCCGTCATCGAGTTGTTCGAAATACTTTTTGGTTGATCACTGAGCCAACACCTAATGTTCCTCCTCTAAGCCATTCTTGCCTACCCTATAGAAGGAGACTCATATTTCATCCTGCGTCCTTTTTCGGCGGTCTGCCGATGTTCCAGTAACTCCTACTTGATTATAGTGCATGTTTAGGATTTCTGGTGTGCGCCTTGGTTTATTATGTAAAAGATCCTCGTAAGGGGGTGCTAGTAGTAGTTGGAAATGGTATTATTACCCAGTGCCAAATGCGAAGAAGCTGCCCCCCGGCCTCCATTAGTGGACTGTTGCTAAGTCACACAACAGCAATTCAATTACATGGAATAAAAAAAGCATCACTATATAACCAAGAAATAAAACCCAAGTGTCATAAATTTTCATTCAATTTCCCACAAAATCGTCGCTATTTACCACCCAAATGCCACTACCCTAGACAATCTTTAGTTCTTAAAGGTAATGGTCTTGGACCTCGTCCACTCCTCAAGACCAAACGATCCACCAAAGCGGCCATGTCCACTGGCCTTGGCTCCTCCGTGAGGGAGAGCACTCTCGTCATGAACCGTCATGTTGTTGATATGGACTGCTCCAGTCTCAATCTCCCGCGCAATGCGAAGACCCCTGCCGAGATCGGTGGTGAAGACAGACGAAGACAAGCCGTACTCGGTGTCATTGGCGAGCTTGATTGCCTCTTCCTCAGTCTCGATGGCGATTAGAGACACCGTAGGACCGAATGACTCGGACTGGTAGATGTCCATCTCTGCCGTGACATCCCGGATAACGATGGGCCTCATGCGGTACTTGCTGGTCTCCTCAACGTCCAGGTTTCCGTGAACTAGAGTGGCACCCTTGGAGACGGCATCCTTGACTAGAGCCTTGTTCCGTTCCACTCCAGCGGTGCTGATGAGGGCGGGTGCATCGCCCTTGGAGGAGAAGATTTGCTCGATAGAGGCTGAAAGTTTCTTCTCGAACTCTGCCAGAACGTTCTTGTGCACCAAAATTCTCTCGGTCGACATGCAGATCTGGCCAGAGTTCATGAAAGACCCAAGTGCATTCTGGAAAGCGGCGAGATCGAGGTCTGCATCCTCCCACACGATGGATGGGGCCTTGCCACCCAACTCCAACACAACGGGCTTCAAGTTTTCACCTGCCAGCTTGCCAACAATATGACCGACAGGAGTGCTTCCTGTAAAGTTGATCTTCTTCACGTGTGGGTTCTTGATCAATGCTGAAGTCACAGACGCGGCATTGGCCCGCTCGTGGAAGATGACGTTCAGCACACCCTCTGGCAGACCTGCCTCCCTGAAGACATCGCCAATAGCCCACAAGGTCCTGGGTGAGAGCTCACTGCCCTTGAACACAACAGTGTTTCCAGCAGCAATGGGGAAGATGACGGCTCTTGAGCCCAGGATGAAGGGTGCGTTCCTGGACGTATTAGTATGAGATAAAACGCTCGAGAGTAACAACATACCATGGAGAGATGGCCAAGACAACACCATAAGGTTCTTGCACGACGAGGGCGTGGGTGTTAGGGTCGGCCAGCCTAGGGATCGAACCCTGTATTGTGCCTACGCGGCCAGCGACCTCCTTGATATGTTGGATAGCAGTGCTAATGTCAAAGTCGGCCCAACCAGCATCACTGCCAGTCTCTCCCATTGAGTACCCGCGCAACTCGTCACGCCGCTTCTCAATGATTTCGGCAGCCTTGAGAAGCACATCACGTCTCTGATAGGGAGTAGCCTTCCGCCATGTCTTGAAAGCCTCGGCGGCAGCGTCTACTGCAGCGTCGGCATCCTTGACGTCGGCACTATAGTAGCGATGAATGACTTTGCTATTTGAGGGCGAGACGATATCAAAGGCATGCTCTGAGGTCTGGTCCTTGCCATTGATGAGGAGGGGGACAGTGTAGGTCTCTTTAGCTGATCCGTTCGACATGATGGTGGTGATGTAAGAAATCTTGTATAATAGAATCTAGACGAAGAAGAAACTTGTGTGAACCAACAACTCAACCGAGAGACAATCAGTGGGCGACAAGCTCCCTTTAAGTAGCTGGGCGAAGGACCGTTTGACCAGTCCGACGGTGTTTCATTCCGAGGATCCCTCCTTGCGAGCAAGCATGTTAGAGTATAGCCTACCCCAACCCCGCATGTGGAGGCATGCCACATCGGGTTGTGGAGGAGATCATGGGCGTGGTGTTTGCGCAGCCTAGACAACGGCAAGTATCCTCGGCACGTCCATCGGGATTAGCTATTAGCGGGCATCCTATTTGACGTGCTTGTTCCATGGGTACGCTCCCTAGCGCGAAATAGACCAGCACCAAGAGACCTCTAAAGTCAAGACTGGATAGGAGCCTCACTTGGGGATCCATTAGGGCGGGCACGGTTGTTGAGCTGCGTTTCTTGCGTTTCAACTTGGAGGATCGTCATTGTGCTTTGACTCAGAATCCCAAAGAATTAGTTGACAATTGAAGACGACATATTGTAACAAAGCGTAGGTCCATGCCTGTCAACGGCCCATATGCACTTCGCAAGTGATAGTTGCGAATGGGGCATGGATCAACCCAGCAAGATCAATACCCATGCTGGGAGGGTATCACGGACGTTGCATCCCTGCCGGGTCCAGGAATGGCTGAGAGACGGCGGCGGTGCGAATCTGGACAATTTCTGAGGAATTGAGCGTTAGAGAAAGGCCCAGTCGAGCGGATAAAGTCAACTCGGGCGCATGAACACTCACCGACGACTGGGATCGATCCTGGAAGTGTAAAGTGGACCTCGGACTTGAGTCGTGGAGAGTGCACCACTTGGCCAGGACGCGGAGGCGCAGGTTTGAGAAGCCTTGGGGTAGGGGTGCGTGGCTTGTCAGACTCTGGCATGATTGCGAGCTGTGTTGTGTAGTTTATGCTTTTTCCTGTAGCTGAAGGATTCTAGCTACCGTAGCTGCAAGGACCTTTGCGAGAGAGATTGAGTTGATGGCACAGTGTCGTGGGAATTGGATTCGGTTTCTGGAGTTGAAGGTGGAGAGAGCCCACTGACAACACAACCAAACAATCTCCTAAGATCCATTGAATCCACCATGTCAGTTCATAGATACAGTGGGTTTCGTTGGATTGGAACGCAGTGAATACCGGTTTCAGAAGCTGTCTTTTCACGCACCGCACAGAGACATCGGAGACGCTCTGGAACAGGCAAACAAGATGCGAGCTGTTCGTTTAACGAGTGCGGGACTTGGCTCGCCTGAGACGGTTGTTCATGCAATGACAGCGTTGTACCTTGGGGGGGCGTACTTGACGGGGGAGGATGAGGTTGCTATTTTTGAGTCGGAGGGTTGAAAGGACCAAGTTATGAATGATGCAGTGAAACCGTCAAGAACCGTTGAGGCTGAAGCTTTACGTGCTTACATACATGGATGTTTCGTCTTGTCTCACCTCCATACTTGCTGCACCTTCCTATCGTGCCTATCTACAACGGTGGGGTCACGGGGTTCGTACAGAGAGGGCCTCATCTTTTTATTGACCTTAAAGCATGCCACGCGATGGTAATTGGAAGATGCTGTCTGGCTAGGACATGATCCGAGACCTTTTCCCCCATGCCGAGCGCCAGGTTGTCTTTGAACGAGACTGGCTGGCTCCACTACGGATGGGGAGATGCACCTCGTGCATAGCCCATGGGGTAGCTAGGAAGCATCCTACTTGCTACCCGGTATGTATGCATGCCCTCATCCAAGAGCTTGGTCTGAATAGTCTCTTGGAGTTGAAATTGTGTGCTTTTTCAACAGAGTTTCGCAGTTTCCCAACTGAGGTGATACCTTCCTTCCCTGGTCAAGAGAGGGTCGGAGGAAATGTCCGCCACGTGACTCAAATGCGGGTTCCCACCAATCAGATGACGCAATCCTCGGGCGGTGGCACCTTGTTTGCAATGAATTTTTTCCCATCCCCCGCCCGAGCCTAGGTCGCACAGAGGTCGCCTCAGAAGGAAAAGTTGGCTCAGAGGGTACCGTGACAGTACATGCATCAAAATTCAAGGCCTCCTGATCGAGTTTTTTGCAAGTCCACTAACTCAATTAGCCACTCGAGCCACAGAAGGGGGGCCACGGGGGGTCTCAGTACCGCCTTTTTTCGCAAACCAGCGAAAAGCAATCTTCTCCCAAACAAAACAATCCGACAACCGCTCCCCGGGCGCCCCTCTCCTCCGTAGTCGGCCTTTGTCCGCGCGCATTGTCTTTGCCAACACACGACGCGCCCACCCAGCGCCGCGACTCCAACAGCGACACCGGCCGCCTATATCGTCTCGTCTCGGCTCTCCGAACCTCCGTGTGTCTGTGCCTCGGTGCGGCAGGCGCAGCGCATTCATCGTCGTCGCCGTCGCCGCGTCTCCTCCGGTCGCCGGGCCTTTGCTCGCTGCCTGCATGGACGGCCCGTCCATCATGGCCGCCGGTGGGGCGGCGTCCATGAGCCCGACCAGCCCAGTCAGCTCCCGCCATGGTCATGGTAACAGCAACGGAGCCAACAAGCGAAAGAGGAGCAGCATGGCTGGGCTGGAGAGCAGTCCTGGTAGTAATCTTGACGACCATGATGCCGATAACGAAAAGAAGCGCCAGCCCGGCGTGAAGCGGGCCTGCAACGAATGTCGTCAGCAAAAGGTGAGTCTATCGCCAACCCCCCCAAGCGCATCCCACCAGAAGCTGACCAGATGACTCAATCGCAACAGTTGCGCTGTGATGTCGTGCAGGAGCCCTTCCAAAGTTGTTCCAGGTGTAACCGCCTCAAGCTCGAGTGCAAGATCGAGTCCAACTTCAAGCGCATCGGCAAACGCTCCAAGCACGCCGAGATGGAGAAGGAGATTGATCGCCTCCGCCGCAACATCGCCCGCGCAAAGTCTCAGGGGTTTGTCCCCGAGGACGTTGACGACAATGTCAACTCCCCCATCACACCGAGCAATCCGACATACACTCATACCCACACTCGGAACCCGTCTCTGATGGGGTCTGACGAGGCCGTATCGTCTCTACTACATCTCAAGCGGGGAGGCAACTACAACGTGCCTCGATATACTCACGAGCTGGAGAATGTCCAATTGACCGAAGAGAATGTCAACAACCTCTTCAACGAATTTTTCGCCTTCTATCATCCTTTCCTGCCCTTCCTCAACCCACAGCAGGCTCCCGACCTCTACTATCAGCAACATCCACTGCTCTTCTGGTCCATCGTCTCAGTTGCAGCCCGACGCTTCAGTCCGGCAAACGTGCCCAACCTGCTCAACAATCTCTCGGGACCCCTGACACGATTCCTGTGGTCGACGATTGGGGAGGTACCAAGCAACTACTATGTGGTCAAGGGTATGTGTCTGTTGTGCACCTGGCCACTGCCAACAAGTACGACGTCGTCCGACCCAACACACATTCTGTGCGGTGTCATGATGAAGACGGCGACCGGAATAGGACTTCACCGGCCCAACCACATTCAAGACTTTTCCAGAGTGTCAGTGGAGTTGAATAAGGAGCAACTGAGCGACCGTGTGACAACATGGGCCGTTTGTAACATTGTTGCGCAGTCGGTCGGAACGGGATACGGCCAACCAGCATCGACACTCTACGACTGGACCTTGGCGCTGAGGCCGGGAGATGACAGTGCCTTTCAACTCTCACGGGAGCTCGAAGCTAGACTGCAGATTGAGAGGTTCTGCGACAAGGTCTCCAAGGAGATGTATAGTAATGCAAGCGATCCGCGGGGGGTTGCCGGCGATGAGCATCGTGCCATGCTCATGCGCGTCTATCGCCGGGACTATGCAGAGTTGCACGCCTCGATCCTGTCTCAGGAGCTGGGACCCATCATCAACCTTCACCTGAGAGCCGGAGCTCTTCACATGCGTCTGGCGGGCTTCTTCGATTCCAGCAAGACACCGGGCTACATGGACGATCTGATGGGTCTTTGGCGAGCCACAACCAGCTTCCTCGATGATGTCTTGGAGATTGACAAGGTGACGAGCCCCAGAGAGACGATGGGGGGTACGATTCTTCTTCACTGCAGCAACTACATTGGACAGATGATGGTTGCGGCGGGCTTTGCGCTTCTCAAGCTCATGAGGTCGTTCTTTGCAAAGACTATTGATTTCCAGCGCGGACGAACCCTGTTTCACCAGACTATCCGAGCAATCCGAGCAACCAGCGTGGTCAACAACGATCTACAATGGCGTCTGGCAGAGCTGATGGTGCAGATGTGGAACGGAGCTCGACTAGACAACAACCAGCAGTCGTTCAATAGCAACGACGACTCCCCGATCCAGATGGATGACAGCCTCCAACTCAAGGTGCGATGCCGGCACAGCATGAGCTTGGTGTTTGACTCTGTCTGGAGGTGGAGGGAAGACTTCCAGGCAATGGGGCGAGGTACTATCGATGGTAGGTGGATGAACTCCCCGTTCTTGTTCTGTTATGAGTGAAAGAAGCATCATGTCGTTATTTGTCTTGTGCAAGCAATCACTGCCGCAAGATGCTGACACGGACAGTAGCAGCCAAGCAACCGACAAATCCAGATTCGGCTAATGAGTCTTCAGCATCTTCGACACACATGGACAGCACCTTGGTACCGTCACACACGCTCCCTCCATCGAGCCTACTCAACACAAACACCAACGGGTCCCTCACGCCCGGGGCGACAGGGCTGTCGGCCGTGTCATCGGCCCAGAACAGCATGATGGGCATGGCGGCGTACGACAACAACACCAACTACGACTTCTTTGACCCCCAGCACTGGATGTTGGATGGTCTCCTTGACTTTAACTACACGTTCGTGCCTCCCCTGGAAGGCGCATAGGGGCCCGATTCCAAGGGAGTCTAGGTCGTGGTAGTATCGAGATGACTTGAACAGCATCAAGACGAAGCTGAGCCCCTGAGTGACCCTTTTTCTCATTTGATTTCATGTACTTCTTTTCTGTTCTTTCTTTCGTTCGTGACTTGGTGAGACTGTTCAATTCAGCGAGGGACTTGTTCATCAGCCTCCCCTTGTCAAGTCTGTTGCTTTTCTATGGGAAATGGGATGGAGGTGACATGAGAAGTCATCGATGGGATGGGAGAGATATCAAGGAGAGAAAGAAAAGAAAAAGGGCAAAAGACTACAGTCCACGTGTGTATGCAGCATGACGGAATGCGAAAATGTTTAATTATGGTCGAGTTTTTGAACTGGCGTCATATCATGTTGATTGTGTTTCACAAGCCTCTTTTTCTCCAACCAAGCCTCATATCATGATCCATCCAAGGCATGGTATCATGGGAACTTTTGCGTCCAAGGCCGGAGGAAAGGATTTTGAGGCTTGGGTTGCCGCAGCATCTCATCTCCATCACGGAGTCTTGTCTGAAATGAGAAAGGGGGGGAGAGAGAGCAAGGGGAGAGTCCCTCTCGCTACTCTATCTCTATCTCGCTCTTTCCACAGTCTCGGGTCAGAACACGAAGTCGTAGGGCGAGACTTTGTCTGTCTTTTTATGAGATGACGCAGGGAAACGGAGTTCATTATACACCCCCCCTTGTTTAAACGGAGACGCGGGGATAAGTCGTCGGCCGACGGATTAGACCAGGTTATTTGACATGGATGGGATTCTTGTAGGGGCACGCACCACTAGAAGGTCATGGGAGAATGGAAACTGTCTAGAGAACGGATACAATGGAGTAGAGTCCACGAGGGCTAGATGATGAATGTTTCACAGATATTTCCTTTGTGTTTTTTTTACCATCTTTAGCTCTAGGGCCAACACAGTTCTATGATGTAGGAACAGCCAGATGAGTGAGTAACAAGACAGGAAACTACTACGTAGTAGACAATTAGAAGGATCACTGGGCATGTCATGTTAGTGTAGTATTCCGCAACCCGGAGCCCCGGTCACGGGCGCCCGCTGGATGCCAGTATCGCAAACGGTCGCATCCATCACCATTGTCGACCTAGCGTCATTCTTTGACTCAAAAGTCAGTGACGTCGTGTAATAAGCCCCCCTTCATCTTCTATACGGAAGGAATGGGTAGTTTTTTTTCTTTCGTTCTTTTTCAGCTGACAAGCTTGGCCTGAACCATTGGCTGGGCTTTTTGTGAGCAAGGGGTATCTTGCGCCACAGCCGCTGCTTCAAAGGAGGACAATGACGCCCTGGCTTCTGGAAGGATTTTTCTAAGGATCCCGGTAGGTTGATGATTTGTTGTCCGTGTGTCCCCCTGGCTAAGATATGCGAGAGGGGGGGAGCAAGACGGTTTTGTGGCTTGATTGTGAAAGGAATGTGATAGAGGGTTGCAGTCGAACGGTTTGACGCCCAAATACGAGGCTCACTTTTTTTTTTTTTTCAGCTGAAGGAAAAGAATAGAACAAGGAATAATAGACAGACAAACATGAAGACACTCTTTTCTTCAAGAGATTTCGGCGAGGGCCGTGCCGAGGATACAATTTGTTGTCTCTGTCGGTCTGACATGAATTCAACCTCACCCACATGGAAACATAAATGGAGATCTCGGTAGATCTCGCAGACGAGCAAGAAAATGCCCTACCGTAGATATCACATGGGCGACCGTTTCTCAAGACCCCAAGGCGGTGGGTGACATTGGGCCGCGCAAACTCGGGGCCTCTAAAGAGGCGACCATCGCGGGCCCGGCGGTAGTAGACAAACCAGATGGAGAGAATAAGCGCCCTCTTTGAACGACGTGACTCTTTTACAGAGAGAGACAAGAAACTCTACCGAGTCGTTGGTGATGGCAATGGCAAGGCATTTCTACTGGGCTGTGCTGTTTGAGAAAGAAAACATCTTGATACACATTGCCATGTCATTCCACTGGGCTATGCTCAACCGCAAGCCCTGGCATGGCAGTCCAATGCCGCATCTCCAGCTGGACGGAAGGATCAGGCACAACCATGCCAACACGGAGCCGAAGCCGGACTGGATTCATGAGAAACAACAATAGAAACCTACATCTATCAGTAGGGCTGGGTCTGTTCGGCTGATGGGCAAAAAAGAGACAGAGAGCCAACACCGCACGCCCCCCCTTTACTCTCTAATGGCGGCATCGTCGATTTGTGAAACTCGCGCCCATCGATCTGCGCCCAGGATAAGCCCTACAGCCCCCCCCCTCCCCTCTTCGCATGTGCCCCTCCCCTCCCCTTTGATGGACCACCACACGTTGCAGTAGGTTCCAGTTTGCTTCCCTTTCATTCAAACAGCAGACGGAAGAGAAAGATTCGGCACCTCCACAAGTGCCGGCAAAGGATTCGGCCGTGGCAGATCTCTCTCAAGGTCTGCTTGTGATGCGTCGTCGAGTGGGAAGAGAGGAACACACAGCGTGGGATTCCCGGCAGTTTCTTTCATAGTAAGAGGGGGTAAATCCTCTAATCTCGGCCTTGTCTGTTTTTGTACAGGATACGAATCTGCTGTAAGGAACCCTAGAGAAGCTTGGTTGTCGATAGACTATCCATCTTGTCTACTAGCTGCCGTCTATTGATGATGATGGTGATGAACAATAGAACAGCACGCGAGTCGACGGGCGGCGATTTCAGGTTTGCCCTGTGCCCTCGACTAATCCTTGGATCGTCAGACTGTCCCGTCTGTGTCTCTCTCTGTCTGATCATCAATAAAAAACTGACCCACGATGGGCCCCAGCTCAGACACAGACAGGACCCGGGAAACTGGAAGTTTGCCACCTTTCATTAAAGACAGGTCCAGGCAGAAACACGAACAACACAATGAGCAAGATTCGATTCCTTCTTATGCTGCGGAAATTCGGATCAGATCGTCATTGGCCTGGGTCTGGGCTGCGACACACGATGGACGGTCCTGGGTCAAGAGATCTCCTCGGGAGAGCTTATCCAACCCCCCTGCACTTTGACCTGGGCAATGTGTCGGTCCCCCTCAAGGGCTTGATTCCTTCGTAGTTTTTCTTGGAATCTGAGAGCCCGGCAAATGATGCCGTCACCATGAGCCCACATCCGAGACCGCCAAAGACGGATAGACGACGGACTCGGACAGGGGAGTTGACATTCGACGCCATTGCATCAGTGAGACTTGTCGATGGGTCAATATCCCATTTTCTCTCGTCAGATCTTTAAAGTCTCGGCTTGTAGCCAACTGCGTCCTTCGACATAGATTCAGTAAATCCACAAAGAAGGGTAAATTGCTGATTCGATACCCAAGCTGCGACGGTAGGATTCCCGAGTGAGACCTTGAATAAACTCCACCGAGATGGGTAAATTTGATAATAGGCTATCCATCCAGGGGCCCCCTCTACACCCCCAGAGAAGCTCAAAAAAAGAAACACCCCAGGTGGTGGTAGCCGTGCGAGACTAGGTAATTATTGGTGGCATGGCTTGAGAACGGACGGATTCCATCTCGTCAAGCAACAGCTTCTCATTGGGTAGAATAGTTTGTGTTTTTTCTTCTTTGTGCTGGTGACGGACGCCAAAACAAAACAAAATGAAACAAAGAAAACAGAGAAAAAGACGGGACGACGGCTCGCTCGGTTCCTGCAAGACAAAGAAAGAGATGCAGACTTTGCAGTTGAGAAGTGATGTCCGCAGACTGGGTACAGTCTGACCACATCGCACTGGAAGCCCTGATGGGCCTAGTTTGTCTCTCTCGCGCTTCGATCGAAAAAAAAAGAGAGAGAGAGACAAGAAAAAAGACCGGCGGCTGCTGTATGTAACCCTCGCTCGCGGCAATTCATGGTCCCCGACGGCTTGGGCTCAGGGACTAGTAATGGCTGACTGAGAGTCGCACTCGCTCCTCGCGCCTTGTCGCGACATGTCGCGACAAAATAATCCAGAGTTATTCGCCCGGCGTGTCCGAAAAGATGTGACCTTGGCCAGAGTACAGAGTCATTGACCTTGTTAGTGGCTCGAGATCCCAAGTCATAATCGACAGGGAATAGCACAGCACAGCAAAGCACGTCCGTCCACAGTGACATGCTCTACTCGCGAGAACTTGCTTGCTTGCGCCCTATGACGCCCGGCAGCTGAAGCTCAACTCGTGTAAAGTCCATTGTTGGAAACAATAGGGAGCCACAATGAGCTGTCGGCTTGGCAGAGTCACAGACTGATGCGGCCTGCTCCTATTCATTGCCCAAAGAGGTAATCGCCGCTTGACTCGAGATTCAAGTGTCGCCAGCTTTGCCCTTTCATTCATCGATGCGGGGGGTCCGTCCGTGAGGCGCTCTCACGGTGACTCGGCTGTGCTGTGCTCTGCTCTGCTGTTTCTGCTGCTTGTTGCCCGTGATGAACAGGCAGGCAGAGGCACAGACAGGCACGGGAATGTTACGTAGGGCGTGGGTTGGCAGCCGTTTGAACCAGGGCCATGCTTTTTTGCCTCGATGTGAATGGACCGAACATCCCCGCGAGATTGGCTTCTGATGAGGGAGTTCCTTGAAAGATGATCGACCGATAGATGATGGCAGAGCGAGAGGGGGGGGGACCCTCCAGAACCACGCCCACGCCCCCCCTTCCAGGCCCCCCCTCACCCTTGTGGCTACGCTACCTCAGCCCAGTAGACTTCTCTGCAAAAGAGCCAGAGTCGAACGGCAAAGGGAAGGAAGGGAAAAAAAAAACGTCTTCTGTCAGGGCCCTGGTGAATGAAATGTGGAGTTGTCTCCAGAGCAAGGGAGATCCCGGCATCAACCATGCCACGGCTGGGGGGCCACCTTGACAGAAACGGGGCCGCAGCGTTTCTTCGAAGCCTCAGCGCGGATCGGCAATTTCGCGACCTTAACGCCGCCTCCGCTGGGCTCGGCCACTTGCCGCGTCCGTCAATATCAGATCTGCCATGTTGAGTTAGCATCACGAAAACCTTCACCAAAAC